ATCATCAAAGTTTTGAATTTGTACTCACGTGATAAAAAAATAAATGTTTTGTACAGATTATCAGGAAACACTGGTTCAGGAAGATCACGTAAATATTTCTTTAGTGTTCCTGTGACATCATGAACACTGTAGTCCTCTAGTGTGAGGATTACTCGACTGGCATCTAATAAAAATATTTTTTATTTGCATTAGTTTTCATAATATCCTGGTATCACTTTGGAAGTCAGTCTTTGGTTGAAGAGTACCACTGGCTGTTGTTGTAGAGCCTGATCTTTGAATTTAAAGAAGTAAATACAATTACCTTGGTTGAATAATTGTCTTAAAGCTTTTATCTTAGCTTGATTTCCATTAACTCTATAGATTCCTTCTTGCTGAAGCCCTACACACCAATKAATGTAAAAAAAATAATCCATTCAAGATTATACTTTTCATTTTTCCCGATTAATTATCAAGAATCCTACCATAAGTTTCAACAAACTGGAGACAATTTGCAACCAAGTGAGGAATGCCATCAGAGCCCAGCTCTTGAAAACGAAGGTGAACATTAAAAACCTAAAAAATAGATATAATATGAGTGTGCAGGAATTACTGTGCTTTCATTCTGTGACTGTKTTTCTTTGTAGCTGTGATCTTTTTGATTCAATATCACTTTTATCATGTTTCTAGGAGACAGGCAATGTTCCATGATCATGCCATTGTGTGCTATCCATGCTGTGATCCACTCATACACCCAAGTAACATCATACTGAAGTACAAGCTGTTTTACCTGTTTGTTTTTGATGGACAAGTACCATGAGTCCAGTTCCTCATCAGTGTCACCTCTCAGTGTATATGTCCTTTAGATGAGAAAAAAATACCCCAAAATGAATCTATTTATATTACCTCAAAACTAAAAACATTTAGCTACATCCAAAAGGTAAATAAAAGTTGGTATAAAATACTAGTCACTCAAAGAGGATATGATTCAAATAATATCGTTGCTAAGGCTAGTAGCATTAAGGTGTTTTTCATATAACCGCATATAATAATCTGATATAAATTGGAATTTTTTTAAAAAAACATTGTCTTACTTTTCTGCTGCAATAATATCTAAAGCTTTGCCATCATTGTCACTCATCTCAAGCGATGTCACAGTTCTCAAGTCAATTACACCTGAAGGTTCTTTATCCCCTGACTGCAAATGAATGCATAATGAAAAAATAATATGAATTATGTGAAAGCAAGTTGGATGTAATGATAGGCTGGAAATAGTCTAGTGTAGGCATGGAAAATTTACTGAATTTATTTACAAGCAAATGAATGAATGAGTGATTTGATTGATTGATTGACTGATTGATTGGTTGCTTGCTTGCTTGCTTGATTGGTGTTGGTGGCGGGTGGGCGCRCTGGTAGACACTGTGTAGGCCTGTGTTAGTTCAGACTGACTGACTAGTKATTGGTTAGGAAAAGATATCCAAATGTAGCCTTGAATTAATTGACTGAAGAAGAAATTAGACTAAACACAATCATACAGCTCACCGCACGATAGAATTTGAGACTTCTATCCTTCAGTGTAAACCATAAACGCTTCTTCATTATCTGAAAACATAATAATACAACAAAATATTTACAACTGACAGTAATGATGGTACAATTGTATTGACCTCTGGCATGTGAGCATGATAACAAACTGAACTACTTATAGCTACTAGAAATTATTGCATATCACATGTCATATTGCATGTTTTTTCRGCCTTGGAAAACAAATTGATAGTTTGCTTACAAGGAATCCAGACTTCTCCAGAATTTCAGCAGGAGAGGGACTAATTTCAATGGCTGGTAGTGATGGGGCTTGGCTTGGCTYCTCTACATGTTGAGGTTCTAGAAAATTCAAAAATTGACATGATATGTTCACAAATTGCTGTGCTATTTACATACATCATAGTCATATACGCATGTATAAGTAAGCAACCATACAAGCATTAGCATAAGCAGATAATTATTATGAATCCATGAAATCAAATAACACACCATCATCTGCTGCATCTCCAAAGTTTTGACGTAGAAGTTCCTAATAACAAACAAAAAATCATACATGAGGTTTTAGCTGAGTATCAATTTTGCATATTAATACAACTTGTTGATTATTGTACATAGTACAAGATGTATGAACAAAGATAAAGTACAGCAAGGTATAATACAAGATCAGAAATCCACAGTTAAAAAATCCAAGCACAGGGTTTTATCCAAAACATGGATTTTCCAATCAATGCTTTCTTGTCTATTAAAACTCTTGTTTGCACTYACAACTTGAAGGTCTTGTCCAGCATCCTTTGCACGCTCTAAAGCTGAAAAAAGGACAGATTAAAATTAACTTTACAAAGGAAAATACATAGGAATTGACTCAGAGTGTGATTTAACTTACGTATTCTTTGGTCTTCACTTTCAGGATCAACAAATTTTACCTGAAAATGTAGTCAAAATTGCAAAAATATTGAAATTTGTCATAAATCTAAGATACAAAAATGTTGAGGAAATTGGTCTTACTGCAGCATTGTTAATAAGTAATTCCATTGTCTTCATTATATCGTCTGTCACTACTGYTTCTTGCAGGCTCTAATGAAAACCAAAAAATGAATGGATGAAAGAATGAATGAAATCTGAGAAAGAATAGAAGAAAGGTAGTAGAGATAGAAAAGTCAACTATAGGGAATTGGTATGGGATTTAAAGTAACGTTCTCTCTGAAAATATGAGAAAATGTTAATTGTAACATTACCATTTCTTTRTAAAATACAACTTAATCTTTTACCTTTCCCAAAGCTACTGGATCTCCATAATCTTGAGATATTTTGCTGTATCTCTTGTCCTTGTACTTTGCTTGTATGAATTCCATTCGCTTTTCACTGAGACAAAACATAACAAGAATTTATAACTTTTAATGTATTTGGCTGAGCAAGATAATAAATTGCTGTTGATGATCTTTTCCTTCCATTTGAGAATGATTGACATGCTTTAACTTACACATTTGAYTCAGGTGTTATTCGGTCATCTTCTGGCAGCTTGTGTTCAAGCAGTAAATTGGCATTCTTATTTCCTATTTTTAACATTAACTGAAAGCAGAACAACAGACAAAGTAAATATGAAGTCCTGTTGCTTGTCAACCTTTTATTTACAAAACTACTTCCTGTAGTTTCCTTTTCTCTCTCAATTACATTATTACCTTKTGTAACTGCAAATATAATATCATTACCCTGATTACTAATAAATGGTATAAAACACAACCTACTTGGTGTAGATTATTACCTCTATCAGTTGATCATTCCATATTTTTTGATCCATCAACAAAGAACGTGGCTTTGAAAATCTAACACCAAGACTCCTGTGGATACCTWTAAATGARACAGAAAAACATGTTACTTACTCAATTTAAATCAATCAACAATGACATATTTCATTAAATAAATTTAATTTACTAACCACAACATTTTTTACAAAGACAAATACAATAGTTGACAGCGGCCCATACTGGATCTAAACAAATAAAGTAATATCAATAAAAAAAGGAAATTATGTGTTTCAAGTTCAATGAAAACTATTATACAGTCACAAAAGCTGACAGCTATATTTCATTTATCCGTAATTAAATGTACTTCAAAAGTTCATTACAAAGATACCTTTTTTGCCACAGTCTGCACATTTTTCATTTGCTGGATTAGCGTTAACTTTATCTATAACCTGTCAAATTATAAAAATTATTGATAACATTCATAAATTATTATGTATGCCAAGAAAATCTAAAAACATACTAATAGTCAACAATAGTTATAATATTAGAAAGGAACAGTGAAGTGCAAGTAGTTAACTTACAGAGCGGTCACTCAATGCAAACTGTATTGCATCTTCAATAGCAGAAAYCCAAGATCCTGCCTCAAAYTCATTTTCTGCTTGGAAACTAAAGGAAAATATTAGATAATAATCACCACAATAATTATTATCTTGCTCATTCTTTATTATCCAACTTTACCTAAAGTCTTTGTTAGGTGTCCTTATATGGAACCGACTCCTGTGACTTTCTGATTTRACTGATGCTAGTTGTGCCATGATACAGTGGATTGGAGTTTCATGTCGAAAATCCTATGAGAGTCAAGAATGCATATTATAAATGTTTAATCATATTGAATATGAAGTTCAGTGAGACATTGAATGAGCATCACGTTAAAATGATCGCCCAAATCACTTATATGACAGCAGATGGTTTAAAACYAGRAGAAATTAAAATTGATAGCCACCTGTACATTCCAATTTTTTTCATAATACAAGATGGCTGCCCTATTAGTACATGTAATAATGTCCAATATTAATGTGAATAATATCTATTTATCACTAAGTCMGATACATACATCATATGTGTCATAATAACAGATGTATTGTCCTTTGATAGCAACATATCTGAAAATAAAYATATCAAAGTTACATATTATTATATTTGTATATATATTATTTGTCCGTAAGGTCGATATTTGATGTTGTTGGCAATGAATTACAGGATAACTACTCCACTCTAACCCAAACAAATTGTCTGCTCAAAACATGAGCCTTGTCTTTATGTAGTAGAGTTAAAAATGAAGCATACTGATCAGCAGTCCAGCAACAACAAGAGTTTATTTATTAAGATCACTCGAAATACAATTACAGTTGAATCAGCCCTTGGATTTAGTCTGGGACTATTCAAGTAAGATGGCGATAAAATGTTGAGCATGTCCTCAAGCTGCTACAATGCTTCTTGGTGGCATCCCAATGCTTTTGTGGTTATGGAGCACTCCTGGTTCTATGTTAAGTTATACAATGAGGGACCATCATTAATCCAATTTGTTAGTCTGTACCTTTTTTTCCAGTCTCCCATAACATTGTGTCCTTGTTTCTTAAGCCACCCCTAAAAATATTACATAAATGTTTACAATTTGTTTTAAAATACATGATGATGATGATGATGATGGAGCTCAAAATTGATATATAGCAAACCTCTTTATCTGGTTCACTCATGTTGCTACCAGGCTCATTGTCCTCACTCTCAGGCTGCTAGAAATATAAAATATAGAAATTTGAATAATACGGCATAGCAACTCTTGACTAATTGTAAGAAAATACAATATACAGGGCACAATGAGAAAACTAAATTTACAACAAGTTTGGTGCTGGAATCAATAAACAACTAGGAAACTCCTACCTTGATTATTGCCTCCATTAGYGTTTGTGCCCATAGATTTGCATCAGCTTATCATAGATTCAAATAATTAATTTGTAGAAAAGATGCAAATAAATGCTTGGTATAAGTATAAACTAATAATAAAAAGAAAACAGMGGAACACGATAACTTACTTATCGAGTCTGAAGCTAACATAAACACACGRTTTTTGGTTACCAGATGAAACCTTGCACGACCATTCTGTCAAAAATGGAAATTCAATTTATCTCAATCAAGTTTTCAGTAATAAACTATCTGACTGCTGCCAAAAAAGATAATCATGTACTCAATGAAAAGATCAAAATACAACTTCCTTACATCTTTCGTATCATATTCTATTTGCACCATCTGTGACACTGGAATGATATGCAATGATTCAGATGTGTTTTCCTGAAAAATATAATGAAAAAAATATAATGTGCTATTGAAAAATACTCTAAAGATATTGAAGGACAGGAAAATACCTCATTTCGGTAGTATCTCAAAGATTTTCCATCAAAGACAAACCATCGTTTTCTCCACCCCTTGTTATTTTGTTGTCTATAGCAACACAACATCCACGATTAAATCCAAAAGTACAAAAATAACAAGATAAGAAAATTTAGATTTCCTAGCATTCTGGTTGTATTTACAGTTAATAAAGCATGGAGGACTTACCCGCCCTGTTTGTAAAGATATCCACTTGTTTTACGAGATTTCTAAAGAAAAGTTTTATGACTGTTATGTAATACTTACATACAGTACATGGATATTGATAAAACCTTGATCAAATAATAATCATCAACACACTCAATATCACCATATTTATTCACCCTGATGGTAAAATGAAAGCGCTCAAATACAAACCGAAAACAATTCTACAACTCATGAGAATTGCATTAATCAATAGAATGATTTTAATCATTTATAAATGCTGAAATAATCATTTATCAACTTACTGTTGTTGGTAGAATTGAAACTGGTCGTCCATCTGACAAACTGTCRACGCTATCACCTCTAGGCTACAATATGATATGTACAAAATGAATTATAATGATGTAGAACTTATGTTTGTTTGTTTTATCTTCACCTAGTCTATAACCAAAAATAGAATGATGTAATCTAATTATTAAAGATTTGAATTACTGTCACTTTCTTGTGATACACTCATGTTTCTGCTAAGTGCCCTGGAAAAGCAGCATTGGGAAGACAAAAAACTTACAGAAGTCCCATAATGCACATGAACCTACCTTGAATGGTGGATCTGTGACAAGAACGTCATCTTCAGATTCATCACTGTAATCGTACCCAATCATGCCGTACATTGACACTCTTACTTTGGCCTCTTCACCTAGAACTCCTTTGAATATACTGGGTGGCTTCTGAGGTTTTCTCATTTCTACTTTACCAAATCCTTCTTGAGGTTGCTTAACATCATCAACGCTGTCATAAATGTCATCAATGTCGGCATTATTGGGTTGGGTGACTTGTGAAATCACTTCATACGTCCCTGCAATTATAATTCACATTAAATAACACATAATATGAATATTAATTTTGTTGAAAGCAATGAATACACAATTTACAATAACAGCTGAATTAACTACAAAGATACCATTCTTCTATAATTAGCTCTGCTAAAAATATACAAGCAAACAAGTTCTGCATAATTATAAATATAATAAAAAACAATCTCGTACCCAGTGCCCATGTGTTATTTTATGAACCAATAAAAGAGCAAGAAATTTGCGTGCATTCCAGAGCCACTGTTTTTTTTTCTTCAAGCATGTGCAGTAAGGGGAACAGGGGCTCTGGGTATGAGACTGTATGAAAAGTATTCAAATAATATATTAATGCTAGGGTTAAGTGTTATTTGAATCAATACAGCAAATGATAACAACTTCCTCATTCCTTGACCTCACCTGTATCTGTGTTTGAATCTTCAGTAGGTGCTAKAGAACTAACAGGTGTAAATTGTGGCATTGGATATCTACTCAATGAACCTCCTTTTGGATTAATGCTGTCTGAATCAAAAGATTTTGGCTGTACTGCAACAGAACTAGGTCTATTAGGTGGAAGTCTAGGCTTAGGCCTTGGTGGAGGCTTTGTAGACAATTTCTGAGGTAATTCAGGTAGATTTCCATCACCTGATTGACAAGTGGGAGTACTGGTATCTACATGTACATCAGTCTTTAAATGACTCTCATCATCTTTTTGTGATGTTGATTCACCATTTTCATCATGCAATATTTTTGCAGATGGTATCCTGCGAGGTTTAGGTTTAGGCTTTGGGGATATTACTGTCTCAGGACTACACAAGATTTCACTGTCTGGATCTGATTCATTAGCAATTCCTGTGACTGAAGTTGCATTGTTTTGAGTTGTTGTTATATTTGTATCTACAACCTGTGTGTCTCCATTTGTCTTTTCAGTACCATTCTGGTCCTGAGACTCAAGATCAGCCCTTYGAGGAATAGGTGGAGGTTTCTTTGGTGTCTCTGAAATCATCGTAGGGGGATTATAACTGATTCCAGTTAAGGGAGATACTTGCGGTACACGAGGAAGAGACGATTCTCTATCAGGAACTTTTGGAGCTGAGGTTTTTTTCTGATCGCCTTTCTTAGGTGGAAGTGGGGGAGGATCGAAATCGCCATTATCTTCTTGGGGTTCGATAGTACTTGAGTTATCATCCTGAATGGACGGTTCAATAATTACATTGCAAGTCTCATTGCTTCCTGTTTGGGCTGACGTCTCATCGTTGACATGAAGTGTTCCATCTTTCGAATCGTTCAGATTTTTACAAAACCTTAACAACCTTGTTCGATGATAAGCAGGTACAATTCCAACAGCATCTAGATCCTCTTCTGTCAAGTCTTTTATCAATTCAAGTGATGTAAACCCATAGTTTGTTAGCTTATCAAAGTATCGTTGAAGTTTAACTTCATTGGTCAACCATTCTTTGAGTTCTGACAACTCTGCTTCGTTCATTTTTCAGGATTAAGAATGAAATCATCAACAAGCTAATTTGCAGAACAAACTCAGCTTCTTCTTTAAATCAGATGCCATGAATGATTTGTGAAGAGAAATAACGGCGTTCCAGCACATAAAAACAACATGACTACATGAACATATTTTGATCTTTTGGTGTCGTCTTCCGGGATGTAACTTGCTTGCTGCGCAATCGCACAGTGGAATTCCGCTGACTAACGAGAATATTGCAGGCACCGAAAGAAAACATTTGTCTCCCGCATAAATACTGTCAGTGGAGCATTGCAGATTCTTTAACTTCACCATTCGTTAGACTCGTAAAGGTTATTATTTTGMTCATGCACAAAAGAAGACCGTGAAAATGTGGAGTCGGGAGAGGCACCTTCCGTCAAAAGTGCGGGAACTCTTCTTTATTTCCGTGAACTGCGCGAAGATGGTGATAACTGGAAAGACTGAACCGGASCGAATGCTTAAAACAAAATCATATGAAATCAGTGTGGGCAATTTTCCGTGTCCGCGTATGCATCAGTGATACCATCCTCGAATGTATTACAAAATCCGATCCTTTTTCTTTTTTTGCTATAAAGTGAAAAAATAGAACAGTAATTCTGAAATCAAGAGCGAGAAATTTCCATCTTTTTTACTAAAAATCCATAACTAGCGCCTGGTAGTAATGATAAACAAAATTTTCCGATGAAATTCAYAAGACATGGCACGATCTCAAAAACTCTCTCTTAGTAGGATCAACAAATGTTGCGTTGTTTCGCTTTAAGCATTCGCCAAACCGCCACTGTTGAATGTAGATAAAGTTATCTAAGATTTTGTATGGATTTTTTTCCTTGCTATTCGTACAACCCTTACCAGGTGTAATGATTGTTGATGATAATTTTGCTGATTTTCTTTTGGACTCCAAATTATCTTTCAGTCTCGATCCCAAGCATTGCTGACTATAAGAGTCAACAACTCATGCACCGCGTCTGGGTCAGTGAATCAAGTTTCCTTCAAATGAGTTTTATAGAGTCAGCCAATTTAGTTCGAGAATAGATCGAGAAGACGAAGAAAACCTACATATTTTTTTTGTAGAGAGAAAATGAAAGAAAGAAAGAAAGAAAGATCAATAAGTAATATGAATTGAGCAAAAAACAACAACAAAAACAAACAAAAAAACGAAAAAAACACATACCGGATGCTGATCTGAATTCGATCTCGATCGATCCCGGGTCGTCGAAGAACAGCGCCTTAACGTAGTGTGCCACTGGGCCAAGCTCATTTACATAATAATAGATCACTTGACACTTTCACCGAATAGACTAYCCCAATTYGACATYMTACTTTCGATAGTTGCCTAGTTAGTGCAAGGGGTTATCCATCAGTGTCTAGGGGCCGGATAGCTTCTCCCTCACTGGCTTTTTAGTTAGCGCGAAGTTAGGACCAATTATCGGGATAGCATGGAAGAGCCGAAATCTCTAACCGGAATGTAAATCGATTCGACGCCTCAGCTTCACAGAATGTCTCGGGGGAATCGTCCCAATCTTTTTCGAGTTTGTTGTCATGGGTTCGAGTCTCAGTAAGATCGYATTCTTTTTTTATTTTATTTTTTCTCTCTTTTTTCCACTTTCGTTTCTTTTGCCTCTTTCTTTCCATTTTGTCCATTTTTGTTTAATACGATTCGACCTGTCATTGAAATAAAATCATTTATTATATAATTATCTATGAAATACCTATATTTCTCCATTGCGTAACCTCTATTTATGAATAGACACTAACAGTTACTTTACATTTTGATCATATTTCACGGTAAAGTGCGTTGACTCTAAGGGTTATCATTTTCTCGTCAGTGCATATAATTCATTCTGTTAGCCTGCCTGCATGGTATAACATCAGTTTTGGTTCGGCTCCAGGGGCGTATCCAGGGGGTACGCAATAAAACAGGACATCAATTTGCCGAGATCGTGGGTTAACTCTTGTTATTACCACGAAAGTAGTATAGTACGAATAAATAGAGTATGGATATCAAGTAGAAAAAACAGTCAACCAAAAACGTTGCTCGACGGGTTTTTTGTAAAATTAGAAGTGGGAAACAGCAAGAAGCAGGTCGGAATGGCGAAAAGGAATATTCTAGACTTCTTTTAAAAATACAGAAATAAGGACCTAAGAATCCCATCAATCCAATAGGCATTCAGAAGTCCATGGAAGAGCAACAAATCGCTAGACTTTCATATTCAGTAATTTTATTAGTAAATATCGACTTTATATCATTCCACATAGGTGGCATATAAATCTTACCATACCTAGTCGAATGACTAATCTGAACTTTCCTCATATAATAACGATCTAATAGTTCATAATTCCCATATGGCGGGAAGGATTCATATTAATTGTTACAAATTCCACAACACAGACCTTAAAAACACAATGTTTCATATCGCATTACTATGACAACCGTTTCATCTATTATTCAATCACATTATCTTATAAAATAACAACCTTTTTTCAAAAATTTGTATACACAATATCAAAATTGTCTTCACAACAAGTCGGCAGTGGACATTTGTAAGACTTCGAAATATTGCTGTCTTCATTCCTGTTGGCCTTACTTGGGGGAAGTTTCGGATCATTTGTAAAAATCTACCGGAATCCTTTGCAAGTTTCTGCTGGAAGAACTCTTAGAAGACAATCTGCGCCTGTCCACTGACGAACATGTTGCGGAAATGTTTTCTGAGAATAGCTGGATACTAAATACACAATAAATTCAGAACAAACAAACAACAAAACAACAAAAAACAACCAAACAAAAGCGCTGTCCTCGGATTTCAATATAAACTTCATGCATAACGATGGTTCAGATTCTGGGAATATTTACAAGAATTACAGTTGCATGTTCACTCGCTAATTTTCCTCAGTTTCTGGCTAAAGTAAACTAAAAACCCCATGCACACTAGAATGCTCCTTTTTTGGATTTTTCTTGATATTTTTGGCTCATAGAAGTGGGGAGCTACTGAACGCTGGAAGGTTACATCATAGTTAGTAACTATGGTTACACCTGGTAATTCGTACGCGCTATTCAGAGTTTTAAGTATACAGTGACTTCAAGCACAGCGCTTTTGAAATTAGGTTGTATGTGGTTACATTTACTAATAAAAATAGTTGGCGGTTTTCTTTCCTTTTCTGAGAAATGAACGCTGCCATCACAGTAGAATAATAAAAAAATCACTCCTTCAACACTTCAATAATATTCCTAGTTTTCCGATTCAAAAGATTGTCATTATACACTCCATTAATATTGTCTAATCTGATTTGGGAATAAGATTGTTSAAGTCGGGTTGAAGGAACTCTTTGACTACGCTATCAACCAGTTTCTGTAGAGTGGCGGTAGCTGTTGCCATGTCAACCCTGAATAGAATAAATAACAAGGAAATGTTTAGCAGTTTATCAGGCTCTCTCGAAAGGGATTGGGGTAGAGTGTGTCATCTCGCCCAAATCTCCTTCAAGGAGAAAGGCTGATACTCAGGGAAATGTTATAAATAGTAATAGAGGATATTACATGGGAGCGCGGAGGTGCGGAATTCTTCGAGTGTTGAAAAGATCTCTCACGAGTGGAAGATAAAGCGTATTATTTACTTTTCGTTTATTTTAAATGATAAAATATGGCTAACTAATAACGCAAGAGCAGACACAATCCGCAATAAACTTTACAAAATTTAAGTAGTACTAATTTGTACTAAAAGTGGACCTGAAGCAAGACGGTATTGAATGCTTCATTTGTATCAATTCAATTTAATTTGCGTAGAGTGAACGCACTTAATCCGTGCAACTGTACAAAATCTAAGTAGTTCTAATTTGTACTAAAAGTGGACCTGAAGCAAGACGGTATTGAATGCTTCATTTGAATCAATTCAATTTAATTTGCGTATCGCATGCACGATTTACTAAATACACCTAAACATCACTATTTAGTTTGTACAGTTGCACGGATTAAGTGCGATCACTCTACCGCATGCACGATTTACTAAATACAACTAAACAGCACTATTTAGTTTGTACAGATGCGATCACTCTATACATTTTCCCCATCCCACCCCTAGTAGGACTTACTTTTCACCAGGCTTTCCTTTTAACTCTGTGTAGTACTTTATTTTGGGTTCTGTGCCGCTTGCACGAAGTGTTGCTACACATCCATTTTCAAAGTAAAATGTGATCATCTGACTTGACTTACTTGTAGGAAGTATCTTCAATAATAATAATATGACATATTAGAATTGATTATTAACAGCATGTTGGAATTATGCGCGGATGCGGACGCACATAATGGCCCCCTTCCGCATAATTTATCCTTTTTAAAAAATTTCCTAATAATTTTGATTTTTTTTCGCGCAAAATTCCGACATGCCTGTATAAAGAATTGGCTCATGACGAGCTATTTTCCTTCTGCCGCTACTATGACATCTAGCATTTAATGTCTGACAGATTGACTTACTGCTTTATTGTCAGGTTGTGTGCTGTCGTATCCTGTTGTCAGATCACGTATTCCCGAGATCTTAAAYTCCTCACATCTCGAAGGATACTGAAATCAGTCAATTAGTGATTTAGTCAATGAATCAATCAATGAATCAATCAATGCATCAATCAATTATTCAACGAATCAATCAACGAATCAATCAATCAAACAACGAATCAATCATTCAATCAATCAACCAATCAATCAATCAAAATGTGAAAAATGGTTCTCTTACCATTCCATTCTCAAGGGTTCGTATTCTATCAAAGATCTTGACCATTACAGGAGGCGATAAGCACAGGTAATATGAATTATTACTGATATGCACTCCATATCTGAAAGATAAAACAAAGTGACCCCTCTGAATAAAGACATTTTAATTACTCAAACTAAGTGAATGCAACTAATGATATTATCTTGATAATTAGAGTGATCCATTGCCTATATCTTTATAAACCATAATCTTACCTTTCATAAAGTATCTCTAACTGCTGCACCAATGTTAAGCCTTGTGTGTTGAGGTAGGTTGCCATCTCTGCCATTACAACACCAGCACTAATACCATCTTTGTCCAGAACATTGGTACCATACATGAAACCTGGACAAAACACAATATATCACTGATAATTGAATACATATCAAATATCAAATCAAATTACATACCAATAGCCTCTTCATAGGCAAATAACACCGTCTTCCCTTGCTGCATGCGATCATACGACTGGTTTCCCATCCATTTAAACCCTGTCAATGTCTCCTGASAAACAAAACCATGATTTGGAATATCAACAAATGTACAAAGAGATCCAAAATTCATTGATAGAAAAGTGTAATATTTGCGGTGTTATGAGGTGTCAAGTGTACAAATGGACACCACTTGAACTGCCTTGTTGAGTGCAAAAATGTTCATTTTCAACTAATGTTAACTACAGTGCATTGAGAAGATCTTACATCAAATCTGAATCCTTCTACTTTGGCCATGGACTCTAAGAATTTTGAGGAAACGGTACTTGCAACCATGTACACATGATCACCTGAAATACACAAAAAGGGAATTATGACCATCAAAGACCTTTCTATCACAGTCTATTGCTAGCTTTATGCATGAGCAAAGTACAAACCTGGGTATAATTCTGGGTGGTCTTTTTTATGACAGAAGAACGCCCACCAACCAAGTAAAGCACCTGTTTCGTTACCTGTCAGGACTCGCCACTTTCCACTGAAAAAGATTGATGAATAAATACAAGACTCTTAAATTCCTACAGGTCCAAGACGTTTTGATAAAAAATGCTTTTCCTTTTGCGCAATTTTTGTATGTAATGCATTCTAACTATTTTTTGCATTTTGGTTAATCCATTAACCATGGACTTTATCTGACTACTTTGAGGCCTTCTCACTTAAAACTGAGTGACTTCTAAACATAAATCCACAAATTGTTAGGTTTTCAGAGGAAGTCCTGAAAGCAATTCATCAAAGTTCAGAGTTTTCYTTGAGCTGGTGCAAAAATTTCAAATGCAAGTTAGCATTCAATAATGAGTTTGTATTGCATGCAATGAAGTAACGACCATTGTTGCTATGACAACTCACTTTGGTTGTTTTTCTGCCACTGCTGTTCTGTCTGAATCAGGATCATTGGCTATGATAACAGTACTTCCTTTCTCATCTGCAGCCTTCATCGCCAAGTCCTACACAAGTACCATCACATATTGGATTAGTATAAAGTACACCAAATTGAACATTACATATTTAAAGCTARGACTGCAAGGGACCATGGGATAGCAAACCACGAGTGCAATATTACCAGTATTTGTGTAATAATGTTTCAATTCCCAAACATACGCTTCTCTAAATATTCAATACCTCCAWTACTAAGTTGTAAACATGGTTCATATCTCAGAGTACCCAAAATCCCCTTCAGTCTAAGTTTCAATGAAGTCACCTTTCTGAACCTGACAACACTTTTTCAATTAGTTACATATATTAAATGAACTTGATTAAATTCTTATGATTATTCTAAATGCATGTTTAATAAGGGTTGTGTGTGTTAGGTGTGTGTAAGGGTTGTGTTTGTGTAAGGAAGTGTTTGTTGTTGGTATGGTGCAAGGTACGTATGAGGCAAAATAGCATGATTAGTATTATTACCAAAGCACTTTTGCCTTCTTCAGGGTTAGGGTATTTCACAGTTGGAAAATCAGGATCAGGAATCATCTAGAAAAACAGAAACATGCACTCTTAACAAAAAATACTTCATTGCAAGTAGGAAAATAATATTATATGACAATAATTGTAAAGATTAGGTTAAATCAATTGCAATACCTGCTCTTTTACTGATACAAATGGTGGTAAGTTGAAGGCTTCAAATCCCTTTTCAGCAAATACCTGACCAACGCCATGCATGGGTGTAAATGTGAAAGTTATCTTGGTCTGTTTATTAAGATGTCTGTGAAAAAGAGGAGATGTTCTTAAATACACCATATTGCAAGACAGTGTTTATACAATATTGGTTTACCTGAAGTGAGAGTAGTTGATAACATCTTTGAAGTAAGCATCCATAATTTCATCATAAGGGTTTGATAACAAATTCTTGTAGYTTGTTAAATTCAAGTCCCAAGATTCACTCCATGGAATACTATTTTCTTTTATACATTTAGATATCTCTTTATCATGAGGTGATTTTATCTGAAATGGAAATTATTATAATTATAATATATCACAATTATCAGTATACAAAGCAAAGATATGTGTACAGTAGTATCTATACAAAGCCACCGTTCATCAAACTGTCACCCTCTATAGGGTGATCACAATTAAAAGCATAAATAGACCTAATCAGCTAAAACAATTTCACCCAATTCAAACCACCAGGTAGTAAGTTTTATTGTTCATTGTATTTCATTTGAATTTTTAGAAACAAAAGATTTTTCTCCCAAAGGATTTGAATTGGATGGTAACGTACATAATAATACCTTAGCTTATTAGGTCTATTGCTCTATTTATTCTCTATTTAATAGTCAACATCTAGCAAATAAGCCAGTTTGGTAAGTCCTCAGGGTGGTCACTTCATAGAGATACCACTGTATTTGGAAATAATGAAATATAGTTTTATCTCCTTCTCACCTGTGCTCCATTTTCAKAATATACCTGAAACAGAAAAAATGTCACTGTTAAAATGAGAAATGAAAAATGGAAATAAAAACAAGATATTGTTCTTAGGTGTCAATTATTTGCTGTTGTTTTTTGAGAACATGTCCAGTTTCTGCATTTATTATCAGCAAAATCAAACAAAGAAATTGTACCTTGTATCCATTGTCTTCTTTAGGGTTGTGAGATGCTGTTATCATAACACCACACACCGTCTTGTACCATTTCACAGAATATGGCTGAAAAGATCAAGATTTATTGATTATTCAGAAACTCAACATCAATAATGTATTTGATGTAAAAGTTTGTTATAAAGTACACTTACCACAAATGGAGTTGGTGTAATTTTAGAAAACAAATAAACTTTGATGCCTTGACTGAGAAACACAGCAGCTGTTCTTTGTGCAAGCCTGAAATGATTATGTACATCACCACCATTATTCAATGTACTTTTTTTACATTTCTCTAATCCCAAATTTTGAGCCTTGGTTTACATTTATTTCTGTTGTACACTCGACACAGTATTTATAACCTTTCACGGTTTTTACAAAATARAATGATAACATTGCATGTATATCATGGAAATTACAAAAGCAACAYATTAAAAGCAGAAAATCATCATCTTTGTATAGTTTCTCCAAGGGCGGATACAGGAGGAGGATGGTGGGGGCTAAATGGTTTTAAGGGGGTCTGAATGGGCTTTAGTGTTATAAAACATGATTGAAAATAGTAAAAAAAAAAACAGTTAATCTTTAACGGCCCCCCTTTGCCCCTCCCTGGATCCCTGGATTATTAATGTACAACAGCCAAAGCATAGTTAGGTATATATCATKTTTTATTGTACCTTTGACTATTATGTCTTGCATCAAACCCAATCACAATTCCTCGTTCTTTAGCATCTGAATATTTTTTTAATACAAATTTTGCAAGTCCCTAAATGAGCAGACATATATATAATTTAATGAAACTCATGATAATGTTTATTATTTTGACTTGGAAATAATACAGATTTGAATAAGAATGAAAATCAACAGACCTGGCTGGCTTGGATTACTGTAAGGTCATTGAACTTTGAAAATCCYGCTCCCATAGATGCTCTCAACCCTGAATAAAACAAAAATACAGTTTGYCATATATTGTTTTTATCAAACTACTTTAAACATAGTAGGTTATTTCTTACCTGCTGTTCCAAATGTCAAAGTGGATAGCATTCTTGTTTTTAGCTCATTGTAATTTTTTYCCTCAACCAATTGCATCACTTCTTCTAGAGTTGCAGTATTCTATGATAAAAGGTTGCAATGACAATGATAAAAGATATACTCAATATTCATTAGCCAACTAAGGTTTAATGGAGTCCACAAACAGGGGTCCATGGAAATCCATACATYATAGCCAAAGATTTAACAGCATTATTTCATAGTGGCAAAATTAACATTTAAGTCAAGTAATTTCATCAGTTCATCCTCCTTCTTTTGTCTTTAATTGTCTTCTTTTATATATTTATTTTTTTAAATGTAAAATTTTGAATTATTATAATGGATGTTGTTGCTGGAATGAAKATCAGTAGTTTTATAAAACAACTGCCTTTGTTAAAAAAACAGTTACCTTTGTACATGTACTAAAATAACTAAGACTGCTCTCTCTACCTACAAACTTTCATACGTTATCCATTATAAATGTATTTTAAAAGTTTCAATAAGATTATTATGGTATTGGAGACAGAAGTAACAGAATTCAATAAMAATTTCAATTTTGTATATCAGTAAATTGTATGTGTCTTGCTACCATATCAAAGAGTAATGCTAATATTTTATAAATAGCTGACATGAAACCGCTGACATTATTTACATAAATGCCACAGGTGGAACATGGAGATTTTCTAAACTTTGAACAAAAACATAACTTCTTTCTATATTGATCAAGTAACAAAATCAAATGTGATTACACRAATTATTGGGCTACTTGACAATGATTATCTTAAAATTTTATTTTGATAGCAAAATGATTTTACAATCATCGATAATAAAGCATCAAAGAAATGACACATCCAGTAGCAATAGAAATAATAAAGCCAGATTGTATTTATTTCATTCTTATACCTCATAGTTTTAATGATACAGTTTGAACAGTTTTCCGATTAGCCTTTAAGCTTCAATTACAAGATCTAATAAAAGGTGTCCATAATGATCACAAATTAAATTAGCACATCTTGCATAACACGACAATGTTTTAAGCTATAATTGACACAACTCTACTAGTCTCGAAACTGTTCAAAATATCTAGCAAGATTTCAATCAACGTCTATTAAATGTAACGAAAGGTTATCGGTCACTTCCAATCCGGGACAAACAGAACAGGGAGCTGTACTCTGTCTGCATCTTTTATAACTTTTATGTAACKTATTAAATCATAAAAACTCTGTTCACAGAGAAAACCATGCAATACATTTTTAGAGGATTTAATCTATATCCATTTTATACCTGGACAAAAGATGACATCAGTCGACAGTTTTAGCAAGTGATACAGATCAGCTTTTAAAAGCAAGACCTGGGCAGAGAGCTGGCTGTTTAYAGAGGGCTGCCATCTAATACTTGAATGTCTCGARACCWAATACWGCCTCTGGATTTTCAAAARATCAGCCTTTAAAATGCTCCATACCTTATCTAAAGATATCCATTCTTTRATCTTTGTATCCAAATTGGAGTCTCCAGAATTTACGTCTACGTGGTCGGCCATCTTGTTTGCCTCTTCGTTGTAAATGAGCCTGCGCCTCATGTGTCAGCGGGGGTCTTCCTAAATCAAAATGGCGCCCTAAAAACAAACATGTAGTACTTGTTTGTGAAATGTTTGTTGTCGTAGCGGTAGTGATCACCGCTTTTATAGGATATCGCTTGAGTAGATATGTCTCTATGAATTCCCTATTCTTCCGTATCGCGTAAGTATCAAAAATAGACGTTTCTGAGRTCAAAATGTTTTGTTTTGGTTGACAGGTGCGTGACGAACTTCACGTGATTTCCTTKGGAAGGTTTCCAATGTTTATGTGTTGCAAGCCAAAAACAATGTTTATCTTTTGTTTGATTAGATGTACATTTTAAATGTCGTTAAGAGATTRCACGTGTAAAACACAAGAGAAAGAATTACTCTCTGTTTGAACGAAAACAAATACAACCCGAGCTGGTGGAGGTGTGTCGCCTTTGCTCCCTTTTGGTCGACCCCCCTCCGCTATTTATTAGCCTTACAGACAGTTAACATCATAATAATCAGGGTCACAGCCAGTTCAAAATGGCAAGCAAGGCAATGGACCCCCATTGAAAATAAAGGTTACTGAAAAAATTCAAGATGCTGAATCAATGGGAGCAGTCTGCAGTTTATGGGAAGCGGGGCGTGATCTATAGGGTAGCAGTCTGTAACTAATGTAGTTAGGGAGAAAGCGAGTGCTTATGTGGTAAGAGGGAACAAATTTACATGTTAGCACTTACATTTGGCTTGGAAGAGAGCAAGCACTAATGTGTGGATAGAGGGATTTAGGTCCAAATCACTTAATAAATAACACTTCTAGCTAATAATTTATTATTTGTATTATAATCTACATTGTATTAGCTTGTTATGAAAACACATTTTCATTTTCATATTTTTTATAGATATACTCTGTATGCTAAGACTCAACTTGGATATTATTACCATTTACATCAACTAGAAAAATACAAAAGTACTCATGACCAGCCACACTCTATTGTTGCTTCCTGGTCTTATGGAGGTATACAACTGTCTGATTTATTAATAAGAAATACAACTCAAGTCCAAAATAATAGAACATCAAAATTKCAACAAATATTGACATGCAGAAACGTACAAACTATCCTGCATGCAATGGGCTTAAACTTAACTGCCATGTGGGCTACTTACACATATTGAGTTTTCAAAGTTTTAACTTTGACCCCCTTCCCYCTGTGATTCCCAACTCAGRAAACCCCAAGCAAAGAGGCWAGSATGTGCGCAATATTACCACTCAGTTTTTTATGGTGGGGAGGGGAGAGGGGGGTGAATATGCTGATTTTTGGTTTTAACTCTTACATTTTTCAATTTACTTAATATTTTTTGAACTAATTCCAGTATGCATGAGGTCTAAATAACTCATAATTAGCTAAAATGAAWTGCAAATACCTAATATACCTCATACTTAAGCTCTAATGGTTCCACATTCATATTATGACTGCACAATTTACTAGTACTATAAAGTGTCACTCATATCTATTGCTTTATGTAGGTGTAAAAGTGTTACCCATTCCTATTGCCAGTGATAACTACAGTTATCTGATTATTGACAGTGAAGAAAACCAAGCTGTGGTTGTTGATCCTTCTGACCCTAATGCAGTCAAGGCAAGTCTGATCAAGCATATTAAACTTCAAATTCTCATTTACAGTTTGAAATGTCAATGAAATGTTTAATATTAATATGCAAGATGTAGCAAGGTACACCCTTACTTGCATTGTGTTGGTTTTGTGTTGAATTGGGCWAAAGAGAATCGTTTAGGAGTTGGTGGAATAAGCAATTGTTTGCTCTGTGTATAAGCACTAGAAGCAAGTCAATGTGATGCATGTTTGACATTTTTCGAACCTACCAACTATCTTCTAGGAAATCATTGCCAGTGAACAAGTCCAACTGAAGGCCATTTTGACCACACACAAACACTGGTAAATACCATGTTCCAGAGTAATATCGCTGAAAACGATACCCTGTTCCAGAGTAAAATCGCTAAATGAAAAGATACCCTCGTTGRTGGCACGTAGGTCCGTATAGTGAATATAGGGGAGTTGACCAATTTTGGATCAATTGCATTTGTGAAACCAGACAAAATTGTCCCAGAGAAAAACATGTATCAATTTTGTAGTACGTTTACTGCCATTTTCGAGTTGAAACAAATGTGGGTAACTTTTAATTAGTGTTTCTTCCCTGTTTTGATYTGGTTTTGATCTTAACTAAAAGTCARCTGTTTTGTTTGCAGGGATCATAGTGGTGGCAATAGCGTTCTTCAAACTGATTTTCCAGGAATTCCCATTTATGGCAGTGCCATTGATGACGTACCATGCCTGACACAGTACGTACCGTGCAGTTGTTAATAACCAGTGCAGTCAGATACTTTGCGTAATTCTTGCGTAGATAGTGTTTGCGTAATTTGGCCGCAAATCAATTTTTGTCTTTGGTTSTCCTGTTCAGTGCCTGCCAAGAGTTATTTGATGTTTACCTGTCATATTGTATCAAAACTAAAATCACGTACTCGTTATCGTCTTTTCGTTTTAATTCGTTATGCATTCGTTAAGAGCCTTCAAATAAACAGCCACACCCTTTTTTCGTCGCTTAATGTAGGTTTTTTGATTTACAAACGTGTGTGTAATTTACTTTCACTTTTTATATTGCAGTCCCGTCAAACCAAATGATATCTTAAAGGTAAGGAACTTCGTTTCAAGTTGTAAAATATACAGATTTCTTTTTAAAAACAAATATTCCAAATATTCCACAGTTCGGGCGATTGTCGTTCACAGCTGTATTCACACCAGGGCATACGATAGGTAACTGAACATTTCTTGGAATGATCTTCTTCACGTGAGGATAACGACGTTTTGATTTACTTGTTTCAAGGTCATACTGTTTACATCCTTTCCGGCGAGCCATTTGGTGCACCTGATTGCTTATTCTCAGGTGATTTGCTGTTTCTTGGCGGCTGTGGTAAGTCTTCCAGRTMTTTGATCAAAGAGACTTAGTTGCATGTATTAAGATTCTAATCGATGTTTCAGGTCGCATCTTCGAGGGAGAAGCTTCCGAAATGTTGGAATCGCTCAATAGCGTCGCTGTTTTGAAGGACAGCACATTATTGTGGCCAGGTAAGATTATTATAGCGTTCACTTATATAGAGTATTATCTAATAATAGACATCGGATGACCATTTCTTCAATCATTTGTTGCATTCATTGACATAATTCAGCTAATTTGCGCACGCGTATATGTCAACTTGCAATAATCGGAAAGGATTTCATTTAAAAAGTATTGTATGATGTAGTACTCACGAGTAGCTGACTCTTATAGTGCTTATTTTCAGGACACGAATATGCGGCAAAGAACCTGTTGTTTGCGTTGACTATAGAACCAGACAATCCCTATGTACGAAACAAGCTGGATTGGGTCATCGATCGTAGAGCCAATAAAAATTCCACTGTAAGTGCAATAAATTATGTCGGAAAAGCCTGTACATGTTACTGTAAACCTGTTTTATATTRCAGTGCCCATCTACGATTGGCGAGGAAAAGCTGTATAACCCATTCCTCAGGACTCACGTCCATGATGTCATGTCTGCTGTGGGAGTTGATATTCTACCCGACGAACAGAACGCTAATCTACGAGCTGTAGCAGTTCTAGTAGCTCTCAGAGAACGAAAAGACAATTTCAAATAGAAATGAGAGTATAAAGTCAAACAGTACGTTTTTATCTATACAGTTTATTTTTTATTAAGATTATATATTTGTTTTTTAAGTTTTGGTGAATAAGAATGTAATTTATACGGACTAAAAGTCTATAAAATACAAGAATGTGCTAAGCACATAATAAAGGTAACATCTAAAACATATATTAACAGCATGGCGATCTATRGTAAATTGTAATCTAAATCCATTTTTCTTTTTAGTTTGATATTTTAAATTTATTTATGCATGATAATAGAACAGTTTTATTCACTTGTAAATACTGCCAGTTTATTTAAGCAGTTCGAACCGGTTTTGGTTTGATTCGTATTAAAGGTTTTTTTTGGACCCTAACGCTATTATTATGTCCCTTCCCTTATACACTTCATTTCATTACATAATCAATACGTAGAGTTTAGTATCCCTATTGCCGTTATTGGGAGACAAGGTTTTATCAGTGCTAAGGTTGTAGTCCTTGCTTGAGTTCCTGTTCTTTCAGAATCAGACCCTGAAACAAAAGAAATCCCGGTAACAAGCTATGSGTGGTGCAGAATTTTACCAKWTGTACCGGCCTTTTCAGACAGAAGCTWCTTACCTGCCGCAAAGCAGCCAATTGTTGAAGAATCAATTCTTGTCGTGGTGTTGTCAATGCTTCATGAATTTCCTAAAAAAAGCAATTGCACAAAAATTAACGTAAAATATCTTTGAAAAATCATTCAAGTATCATCCGTTCGTTGATCTGTGACTTAAAACAAGAGGTGCATTTGTGCACATATTGTTAAAGAATCATAACCACCCGTCGTACCTTGCGCGCTCGTATTATTGTTTACATACGCAAATGCCTCAAGCATACAATAAATTATAGATTGATAGTACCTGTGAGGTACTTAGTTAAAGGTATTTCTGTCCAAACTGAAAGAATGGAAGACGATTCGCGCTCACTTTAAGAAATCCTACAAATCCGCCATTTTCGTGTCCACCTAAAATGGCGCTTCGGTTCGCAAGGTACGACGGGTGGTTATGATTCTTTAAAGATTCGCTTGAAGAAGGCTCACCTGGTGTCGTGAAAGTCTAGATAGAGCTGCGTCTATTCTTGAACTGCGTTGTTTTTTATCAACATGTTTCGTTCTTGTMTGGGTAAGACTATTAGTACTGTCCTTCAAAGACTTCTTCACCACCCCCCTAGKGGAMACTTTGGGCGCTGGCTTTGGTCCTTTTGTCCTCCGAGACGATACCTCCGCATCTATTTTCCCAGGTTTCAAATGCGTTGATTGTGAACGATACATTGGRGGCACTGCATCTTTACCAGGGGACTTTTTCGTACTCTGTTTCAGGTTATCTTTAGWTTTAACCGTTGTAGTCCCCTTARGTGCAATATCYTGTGGGGTGTCYGGTGGGGCRGGAAGTGTAGCGCTRTCTGTACGATGATAAGGTATCATGAATGCATCTTCAACAGTGTCAAACGGAGGTTGTTCGSMTTGGAATCTTGCACTAGACAACTCGTCCAGAGAAGTTAAAAAMTCAGTTTCACTTCTGTGGGTATCTTTACGTGTTGAAAGWGCCATCGAACCACCAGAGGGTTCAGAAGTCGAGCTTACAGTTCGTTGAAGATGGGAGGCTTTTACAGATGTCGGCGTTGCAGCTGATCTATGTGAGGGTGGGTTCACATGCTTTGGAAGTTTGTTACGCAGCGTAGGGACTGGGGGTGAATCGCCACGTACTAAATTCAAAGGAGGGACGTATGGCTCAACTGAAGACTGGTGACTAGCCTTGGACACGTGACCGTGTGGTATGGTTCTTGGTGAATCACGTGCTCGAGGTGACGCATAGTGAGACAATTGTGACTGCCTGTCATGTGATATAGCATGATGAGCAAGAGATGAGGTTCGTGACACCACGTACGATCGACTGGACACACCACCTAAAGACCAMAACCAACAAAAATTGAAAACAAACGAACATTAACTCAGAATCTGATCGTCTACTTAGTGKCCGTCATGTCATTTACCTCTTGTACTCTTGCCACCAGCTTCCAACTGCTTTTTGCGCTTTTCCCTCTTGGCCTTAAATGATGAATAAGAACAATTGAATGGAAATAAAGTGAAATATACAGACTTCATTTATTTGGTTTTACCTGTTGTGCAGACTCATAAGCATCTAACACACTTTGCTGAAGAGCTTCACTGATGCGCTTTGCTTCTTCCTGAATTATAGACGAAACTCGAATAAATATCTTTTCTACTTTATAATTATTACTCATATACCCACTCATATTTATTGTTATATTATACATTTTATGATGTTCTTAACTTCAAATTTCCGATTTTGGTCAACACAGCAACAGGCAGCCGAAACTCATAACATAGTTAATAGAGAGGACAGTCCTCTCTATTATAAACTATGCTCAGAACACGCAATCAGGTAGTTCTCTATTATTGAATAATGCCGTGTCTCTCACTCCCGTTGCCGCAGCATCATGTATAGTGCCACTTAATATGGCTATTTATTTGCTTGATCAGGAAGACAATTACCAAGTGTGATGTGTCAATTTATTAAAATAGTTTGTCCATGTTTGACCAAATATTGATAAACATTTCCAAGTTTTCAGCCTCAACGTTACCTCTTTTTCCCTTTTCCGTTTTTGTTCAATTGCAAATGCCTGGTTAAGTTTTTCACGCTCTTTGGCTAAACGGGCTTCTTCGATTGCTTCTTCTTTCAGTCGTTGTTCTTTTTCCAACTGCTTTTTACGACGATTTTCCTCGACTTGCTCTTGAATAGCACGCTAAAACATATATGAAATATAATGAAACGGCCAGGACAACTTTGAGTTTTATCTTCTGAAGAAAGCCATGTGCAGACAAGTCAAATGTCTTTAAGTACAAGTCAAGTCAAGGCCTTCAAAGAAAAGAAGATGGCCAAGAAAAAAGACCATCACAACACCGAAGACAGTTTATATAAGAGKGAAAAAAGAAACAACAAAAGAACAATGGCAAAACCAAAACCACACATTAGCAAACGTTCCGTGTACCTGGTGTTCCAGCATTTTTAATCTTTTTTTCTCTGCCTCTTCCTGGCTTTGTAGATCCAAAGTGTGCATACCAAACCCTCGCGCATGCCCACTCCTAAAAGTTTTATTTTTT